GGGACGACAGCCAGGCCCTCGTGCTCCTCAGCAGGTGCGCCCGGCTGCAGGCTGTGCTGTGCGGGACGAGGTGGGCAGGGGCTATGCCTGGAGGCTCCTGCCCCTCAGCCATTTGCCCCCAGGTGTCCCCGCCTCCCCTCCCTCTTCTCGGCCAAGCGGGAGTCCGGCCAATAAAGGGCCTCTGGCTATCCTCGGAGGAGATTCAAAAGTCTGGAGTGTAGATGGAACCTAGTGGCCTGACGGGGCCGCGGGCGGGGGAGGGGCGCCGGGGTGCCCGGAGCCGCGGGGAGTGGGCTGGCGGGTCCCTTTCGGAAGCTGTGGAGCCTGAGCACCTGTGCACGGACCCTGTGCGGTCACCGGAGAGCGCACAGCCTGCGACCAGAGAGTCCAGTCCTCAGGTCTCGGTCAGGCTGCCTTTCCTGCCCCTGAGCGGCACCGGGGCTGCCCTGCCCTCTCCTGGGTCAGGGAAATGAGCTGTGGCTGGTGCTGAGCCACGTCTCAGGCCTGTGGACGGCGAGGGCAGCTGGCTCACCATGAGGCTGTGCTCAGGTTTCTAGATCACATCAAGAACGAGGACAGCCCTGGGCCCCCCATGGGCAGCCACCATGCCTTTGTCTCTGAGGACCAGGAACCCCCTCCGGTGACGGACATTGGGGACCTGATCCACGACTCCTATGAGGTAGCGGGGCCCTGCCTGTCCCGCCGCCTGCAGGCACTGCTGGGGAGATGGGACGGGCTGCAGGGGCGGTGGGGCTGTGCCCTCGTGCCCAGGAGGGACCCTCTCCCTGCAGAAGTTCGGGCACCAGTCGGTGGGGCAGATTGAACGCATGCGCTGCAGGCACAGGATCCGGGTCCTCCAGGAAGCAGGAAGAGCAAAAAAGAGACTAGTAGAAATCAGGGACTCAGAAAACAATAGAATAAATCTCAATAGAATAAATCATTAAGTAGACAAACATCTGGCAAATAAAGTCAAGAAAAATAACGAAATCACACACACACAAAAAGATGGAAAGTTCCCCTGGCCAAGTGTCTCAGTTGGTTGGAGTGTCATCTGCACTGAAAGGTGGTGGGTTCAATTCCCAGTCAGGCACATATCAGGTTAAGGGTTCAATCCCCAGTTGGGGCGCTTATAGGAGGCAACTGATCAATCAGAAACATCACATTGCTGTTTCTCTCTCTCAAATTGATAACCATGTTTTTGGGTGAGGATTAAAAAAGGGTGCCAGCTTTTCCCCGTTGAATTAAGACCTTCATAGAGGTGGTGTGGGTTTTAGTCAGACAGACTGGGAGCAGAGGGCCCGCTGGAGCCTCAGTCCCCCTGTGGAATGAGGACGGTGGCGCGGTGTGGGCCGGAGGAGGCGGCACACAGACATCTGGGCCCTGGCCTGCGTGCTCCTGGACCGCCCGCCAGGCCAGGGTTGAACTCCACAAGAAGGTCACCTTGGCCGGAGGCCTGTGTGTCTGGAAGGGGCGGGGCAGGGGGCAGACCCCACTCACACCTTCGCTGTCTGCTCTCCTGCAGCTCCGCGTGGTCAGCCCTGAAGTCTCGTTCCCCGTTGGCGACCTCGAGGAGCTCTATGACTTGTTCAAGGTGCAGGTCCGGGAAGGGGAGGGAGGGACAGGCCCGGCCACTGTGGTCAGCCTGCCCGGGTGGCGTGTGGGAGCTGACCTGGGACAGCAGAGGCTGTGGCCACCCTGCCTGCTGCCCACCTGCCCACCTGCCCTGCCCCCCCCGCCCACTCCTACCCTCGCTGCTCCTTTTCTGCACCAGGATACCGGTCCCGTCAGATGGAACAGGGGCCCACAGAGACCATCGCTTCATATACATTTCCATTACTTATAATTCAACTCACATGTTCCTGAACATCTACACCTATTCCTATATTTATGTGGTTGGTATGCATGCCACATACTCTTAATATTTTTTAAATAACTTTATAGCCGAAACCGGTTTGGCTCAGTGGATAGAGCGTTGGCCTGCGGACTGAAGGGTCCCAGGTTCAATTCCGGTCAGGGGCATGTACCTGGGTTGCGGGCACATCCCCAGTGAGGGATGTGCAGGAGGCAGCTGATCGATGTTTCTATCTCTCTATCCCTCTCCCTTCCTCTCTGTGGAAAGTCAATAAAATATATTTTAAAAAGTAATAATAATAAATTAAATAACTTCATAATCTATCGTATTTGTAATAATATGCTAAACCATGTTTCTAATATTTGGTTATTTAGGTAGATTCTCAGGTGTTGCTACTTATGCTACAAAGAACATTTTTTTTGTTGTTAAATATGTTTTTTATTGATTTGAGAGAGAGAGGAAGGGAGAGGGAGAGAGAGAGAATCATTGATTGCTGCCTTCTGCATGCCCCCCACCGGGCGTCGAGCCCGCACCCCGCACCTGTAGTGGGGGCTCCGCACACTGTCCCCCGCGAACATCACCTGTTTTCAGGTCTCACCATTTTTCCTGCTGCAGGAAGAGAAAATACGAAGTCAAAGGTGACTGGGTGTCCCAAGTCCTCTGACTTCGAGAAGGAGAAGCAGGGGCACGTGAAGCAGGAAGTGACTGTGCGCTTTAGCATCTACAGTCAATCATCTATTCCGGGTCAACTATTCTCAATTTGGGAGAATACGTGACATCACAAATCTGGATTTATGTAATGTAAACGATTGCTTTAAATTCACATTTCACTAAGTACTAGTCATGTCATTCATCTTTAAAGAGTTTTAAAGGAGGTAGAGCTGTTTCTTGTTTCCTGTTTCCATATTTCCTGTGAATGATGCGACTGGTACTTAATGAAATTCATGTTCATATTAGCCCTGTAAGTCTTTCATTTTTGTAAGACTAAATACAAATAGAAACTTAAAATAACTTTGAAAATGTACCTCCAAAGGAAATGCCAGTGGAATAGTGTCATGTCACGGTGCCCAGTTCTGTTGCACAACCTGGTGCCTCCTTTGCCCCGCCAGCCTTCCTTCCAAGCCCAGGTCAGCATCCTGCTCCGCAAGCAGCCCCCTCAGCGGTCCGCTCCCCGCGTCTGACCTGAATGTCCTTGGCTTTCGGCCAGACTTCTCACATTTCAGTGCTTGATCTTCTCTGGTTGGATTTTGCATGCACCTCTTATCTTTTGAGTCAGACTTTTATTTTGTTGAGGGAAAGGCCTTGAGGAGGCGGGTTCAGGAGCCCTTGCTCAGCATCATGGATGGCACCTCCCTGAGCCGGGGAGGTGCAGGTGCGACCATTGTGTCTGTTAACAAGAGTCAGCTCTGATTGCCATCTGTACATACTGTTTCCTATTGAAGACAAACCGTGTGGTTGGTACTTAATGAAATCTATTTTTATTTTTAGGTTGAAGCAATCTTTTAATCCCCTAAGGCAGTGGTCAGCAAACTGCAGCTTCTGTGGCTCACGAGCCACATGTGGCTCTTTGGCCCCTTGAGTGTGGCTCTTCCACAAAATACCACGTGCGAGTGCGCACATACAGTGCGATTGAAACTTCGTGGCCCATGCGCAGAAGTCAGTATTTTGTGGAAGAGCCACACTCAAGGGGCCAAAGAGCCGAATGTGGCTTGCAAGCCGCAGCTTGCCGACCACTGCCCTAAGGCAAGTCTGGTTCTTCCTTTCATTTTTATTGAGATACTAGTGTCCTGGTGCACAGATTCAGGCACATTGAAAGGAAATTAATTAGAAGAAATATTTTAATACCGCTATTCGCCCTTTCTCTATAATAAGTGTCAACCAAATTCACGATTGACAATGACAGATCAAAACACACGTGTGAGATTGGCGCCAGCGAGAGCTTTATATGTATCGCGCATGCGCAAGTCAGCTTAGCCTTTTATAGACATAGAATAAACTTGTTTAATTAGATCTGCTTTCTGATGTAGCTAAATTTTTTCCAGCCCAGTGAAGCAGCCCAACTTCTCTTTCAGGTAATTGTCAACAACACAGCAGTAAATATCAACACACAGCAGATTATTATTGTAGATCATGCAGGGAGAACAAAGGGTGAAATATGTAACTGCAGCAGTGTTTGTATTCTGCTCAGCAAGAAAACCTTGGAGTGATTTTCAAGGCCCACCATTTCTTACTTCTTTTCATTCAGGTCAAGTTTCTAAGCTTTCTAAATCTCCATTTTCTGGCTAGTGAAAAGAAAATAGGATTCTATTGAGTCTCCTATCTACCTACTCCAGGACTTCTGTGAGGATCAAATGAGATGAGGCACGGGAAAACACTTCACAGACATTTGGTTAAAGTGTAAAATATTTGCACCTGGCTATAAAGCAAGTCGTGTTCCTGGGCTGAAGAAACTGCAAGGAGGCTAGTGGCTAGGGAGAGGAAGTGGGGTGTTGCTACATGACATCATTACCTGGCGCCCACAGTGGCTGTTTCTGGGCTGGGCTGGGCTGTGGGCCGCATTTTGCGCCATGGGCTCTCAGCAGCATTGCTGCGATTTGGTGGGCTGTCGCTCCGGGGTGGTGGCAGGGCCTGTGTGCCACTTGGGGGAAGCCAAGTGTTGCTTTGTCGGCGCCCGGTCTGTGGTAATGTTTCTTTGTAAATGGCCAAGTGGATATCACTGCTCCTGTGTTGAGCGTGTGCCCCTGATGGTCAGTGCATGTCATAGTGACCAGTCATATGGTTGGAGGGACACTTAGCATATTAGCCATATATATATATACTAGAGGCCTGGTGCACAAAATTTTGTGTACTGGGGGTGGGGGGGGGTCCCTCAGCCCGGCCCGTGCCCATTTGCAGTCCAGGACCCCTTGGGGGTTGTCACCTGTCGACGTAGGCCCACTCCCCGGGGGATCAGGCCTGAGCTTGCAGTCAGACATCATTCGGGCAGCCAGGGAGCCCTCGGGGGATGTCCAGCTGAAGGCTTAGGTCTCCAAGGGATTGGGCCTAAACCATTAGTTGGACATTCTTAGTGCTGCCACGGAGGTGGGAGAGGCTCCTGCCACCACCCCTGCACTCATCAGCTGTGAGCCTGGCTTTTGGCACACTGACCCCCAGGGGGCAAGCCCT